ATCTTATGGCATATAAGGTAATAGCTAGTCAGAGCAGTGTTGCCACAGAAAACCTATCTCCACTTGTCCCTTCAAAGTGGGGTGGACCACAGGCGACGTGTAAGGGAGGTATGGGGGTGGGACATATGCCCTCCCTGGGATTGGACACCACCGAAGCCACTGCCTGCTTCTGCAGGCAGTCGCCGCTCGCACCCTCCACCCTCACTGCCGACGCAGCTGGCAGCATCTGTGAGCAATCCCTGCTTGACACTCACCACTCCTCCCCGCCCCCACCTTGCTGCCAACATTGCCAGCGGTGGTTATGGGTGGTCCCTGCTCACCACTCCCTACCATGGTGCTTCTCCCCCCCCCCAAGTCTCAGGAGGCATCACTCATTCATGGGGTGAACAAAATATTTATTTTCTCTCTCACTTTCTCTCTCTTACCTCACTTGCCCTGCCACCATTTGCTGATAGCCTTTACAAGTAAGGAGCTGTTTGTGGGGCTGTGCTAGCCTATTTTGGACTTGATGGGGCTAAAACAAGCTGATGGAGTAAACTTGGTTCATCACTCTAGCTTGGGGACAGGCAAAACGTGGCCTGCGGGCCGGATCTGGCCCCCCAGGCCATTCTATCTGGCCCACGGGGCTCCTAAAATAATTAGAAAATTAATATTTATCTGCTCCTGGCTGCCTGTCAAAGATGACAGGAGCCAGGGGCAGTAGGACCCAGGGGAAGCTATCAGCAGGGCCAAGCAGCCCAGCCCCACCACACCCAGCCATTTCCCTGACTTCCTATCCGCAAGCACCACGTAGTTCCCAGCTGCATGGCTGGACCGCGGGAGCATGGGGCTTGCGCTGGTACTCTGGAGCTGGGAGGGGGAGTGTGTGTGTGTTTGTAGGGCAAGTCCCACACGCACCCCACCATACACATGCACCCACACACCCCCTCGCACTGCTGGACGCGGAGTGGTGGCAGCAGAGTGGTGGATGGCAGCGGCGGCCACCACCATGCACAAACTTCTCCTTTCCCCCCCATGTCCGACTGGCCAGGTAGTGCCTGTGGGGCCTGCAGAGAGGCGCCGCTGCCCTTGTCCCAGCCCTGCTCCTGGGAGGCGGCGGTGCGGGGTGATGGGTGGCAATGCTCCATCCCCGCCCACGTACTCGTACCCTGTAGGGCCTTCCCCAAGTACCCCCTGTTGACAACCCCTGGTATATTTCACCCGAATATTAACCTAACTTCACTTTAATATGGTTTTTGTATGCAGTTAGCAAAGTGGTGTCGTTTCTTTACTATATTTTCTTGTATAATGGATCCACATCTGATGGCATTTATTTACACTGCAAACTCTTCAGAAAAGAGATAGTCTCTCCTATGTTTATATATCATCTAGTGCAATGGGGCATCAGTCTTGTTCGGACATGTGGCCACTTCTCTCATATAAGTATTAATTATTGTACCACTACTTGAAAATACTGAAAAAGGTCTCTCTCTGTCCTACTGTTCTGTTCTTACTAGTAGTTCATTATCTGCTACTGTATTTCTGCCTGTGATGTTATATAGAAAGCTGTTTTAGCAGTCAGATTATTGTCAGAGTAGTTCTTTATCCTTGCAAGAAAGTCAGTTTCAGGAGCAGCTTCAGCACCACCTACCTGGATCAGTTAACAACAGGATATTTCTGAAGTGACTTATTTGTTCGCTGCCGGGTGACACACAGCTGACCATATTCTGTGAATTATATTGGTTTGTGTGTCCCTTCCTCCAGTTTCAGGGAAATATATTGCAGTAGTTTCTGCATGCAGAATAATCTGAGACGGTTTATTCATTAGCTAATACGATAATGTTGGAAATTGAGAGACTCTGACCAGTTGGTACCTCCTCCTTGAAGCATGTTCTGCCACAAGTCTGTAGTTAAGGAGTGAAGTTTATCTGCCTCCTAGTTATCCATACATCACACTTCTCTGTTACTAAACTGCTTAGGTAATATTTACTATTTGAGATTCCATGAACATTTCACTTTTAAAAATGTATAGGTTATGAAAGTCAGACCAGTTAGATCTTGGTGCCAATCAAAAGCTGACCCCAGTGACTGTTTTATGTTTAGCCTTTCACAGTTTTTATTATTTTCAGTCTTCTGAGAAGAGAGTACCATGAAAAAGTAAGACTGATTTTCATTCTAGACAAAAATGAAAGGAGTGAAACCCCTGTTCCAGAGATTTCCTTGTTGGGCTGGCAAACCTGGTAATCTGGAGAAATTCAAGGAAGACAGAGAAATGGTGGAGGAGAAGCAAAACAGCAGATGAGACCTATTTATTTTCCATAGGTCTCACTTTATAGAAGTTATAGAGAATACTACCTCTATAGTTTGCAGTCCCTGTGGGAGATAGATTAATTTGCAGGTTTAGGAATATGAAAGCATCTCTACACTGGGAATCCATTTGTGCAGTAGGCACAATGCAAAGCCAAGTCTTCACTAAGAAGGTTCTGTTTTGCCATCTCTAAACTGAAAATTAGTGAGTGCA